TTCGCATACAAATATTAACATAATGAAAACAAACAGCTGATTGAAAATCACAGAGGGACCCACGACTGAAATCCATTGCTGGTCAGAAAAGCTATGTTCTCCACGCAAGGGCTGAAGCCCAGTGAATTAACTGGATTTTGCCTGCATTTGTGTTAAACTATAGAAATAGTTGTTTTGCCCACGGGGGTGTCAGTACAGAGCACTCCTCGGCAATATACCCCCTTAAAACGCGTGTAATTCCAGATGTGTACAACTTCTGCCATAAAAATACACTGTTCTTAGTTTCGTCACAAGGATGAAATATTAAAAGCTCACAAGTATGGAATAGTGTTTGTAGCTTCATGTTTCCCCTTCTTATTGGGTAATCCAGTCAACAAGAATTCTTCCAAATCAGCAAATGTAATGTAAACTGAAGCAGCATAGCAGGTTGGAAGCAAAAAAAGGCCAGACTATTAAATATTTATCCCTTTCTACAGAGCTCCTGATTTATTTATAAGTCTCTGTTGAAAAAACCCCAAACAATCAACAAAAACCCCTGCAGCTAATTAGAGGGCACCGGATGAAGAGCTAGTTAGAAGTAGCAAAGCAAGCTCTTGCAACACAGCACTCGGTAGGTGCAGGGCGGATCCATCACCCACCTCGCTCCAAGATTTAGCTGTGCAATTGCCAACATCAGCCACATGTCCGCATACATAAACCCCGTCAACTTACTTAGTCAAGCAACAGGAACTTAACTTCTAAACTACTTTTTGGAGGAGCAAAAAAAATGCCCACACTCATCTAGTTAAAGCAGCTGATTCTCATCGCGGAGAAAGCGAGCTAAGGCATGGTCATTCTTAGATTAACCGAAGCCCTACAGACAACCACGGCACTTGATGAACTCTATAGTGATAGGAGCAACCTCTGAAGCATCTTTCTCTTAAGGAAAACATTTTAATTTCAGTTCTGTCAAAATAACAACGCTGACAGGAGAATTTAAACAGACAAAATTAAAAGTCTCCTTTTTGGTTTGTTTGTTGTTTTGGTTTTTTTTTTTAAAAAAGGGATAAATTAAGCCACCAGTATACTACTGTACCCAAGTATACTACTTGTGGGGTAAAAGAACATTTACAGCCAGCTGATTGTACGTTCTAAAATGACCAAATGCACCTTCTAGACAACAGAAACCCTCAAGACCCCAGATATTTAAAATATATAGATTTGTTTACTACTATTAAGTATGCTATTTTAGTATCCTTTTTCTTTCCACAATGGATTTAAATGCACCTGCAGACATTTCTGGTGTTCTCAACAGCAGAAGCACTTCACCACCCAGGTTCACACAACTAACTCTAATACTTTGGATAACACAGTAAGAAAGTGTAGTATGTGTGATACATTGCACAAAAGAAAATAAGGAAAATGAAGTAATTGCCCTACAATAGAACTCTTAAAGTAGTAATATGAATCTGTAATTTCCTGTCAGATCAGACCCTTAAACAGACCAACCAACAGCTTCAGTCAAAAGGCAGGAGCGTGGGGAGAAGCAGCTCCTTTTCTGTATTCATACTTCACTATAAAAGCTCCGAACTACACATAACGTTTTCCTACGTACAAGTGGATCTTTAAACCCCTTAATTCCCAATCAGTACAACTCTGTCAACACAACATAGACTGTCACGGTATTTTTGAATGGCAGAAATCCACAAAAATGAAAGGGAAACAAGGCAAAGAACCCCCACAGAACTGAACTCTTCCTCTACCTTCAGACTTCATTCTCAAAGAAACCACACTACTGACAATGGGAACTAATGATTTTTAAATCCTTTTATTTTTCAAAACCTACAGTTTGCTGACAACATTTTTGTTACTTTCCTGTTAAACTGCTGAGCAGGCAGCTTTGCTCTAAGAGGTTAGACTGTTTATCCAGCCCCTTGCAAGAACTCTTTCGGATTTATATCTGTGGGGAGACACGGATATAGCCTCCCACCCCTTCCACAGCACGTACAACCAGACATATACGCTTCAGCTTTTCTCTTCCCAAGTACTCCAGAGCCCTGGGATGCCTCTTCCCCAGCGTAGAGCAGCGACTCAGCTCAGACAGCTGATGGGGACACCCCGTCCCCACAGGCGAACGCCACCCTGGTGCAGACACCCCCTCTTCACATTCCCCCTAACGCCGACAGAACCGTAAGCTTCAGACACCCAAGACGACCCAATGAACTTAAATTCCCTTTGTCAAATGCAAAATTTACCCAGTCTTCCTACAAGTAGGACAACAGATAAACAGCACGCAAGAGCCCACGTTAAAAAAAGAACTACCAAGTCTTCAAAGGTTGCAAAATACAGCTTCCTAACCTCCCCAAAAACACAACGCCACGTTCGCACATCTCATTTACTGTTTCTTTCTCCTGACACCATTCCTCCGTCCTCCCTCTTCGCTGAAGTGCCCTTTGTGGGACGGCGAGGAAAGGAAAAGAAAACTCCCCGCAGCAGCAGCAGGCGAGCAGAGGCTCTGTCCTGCAGCGGCCACAAACCTGCCTGGTGGCGATAAGCAACATTTATCACTGCCGACACCAGCAGCACCCAAGCAGGGCTGGCGAAATCCCCAAAATCCTGTCCCGACCCAATATTTGAGATTGCGGCTGCGGAGCCCGACGGCAAGTGGGCTACAACTGCCCGAGCCCAGAGCAGCCGGGGGATAAGGTGGGCTCACAAATGGCAAATACATCCCAGCAAACTACAGAGCCACCATGGCTGAGTCCCCCACACCCTGCCTGGCACCCCCACATACCGCCCAGGACCCCCACAACCCACCCAGGACCCCACATACCCCACCTGGGACCCCCACAACCCACCGAGGATCCCACATACCTCACCTGGGACCCCCACA